CTGGGCCTTTACACAGGACAAGGGAAACCCCATTTTACTCATGCTTTGCTGTCATAGCAACTTACATACTAACGGGGGGTTTGAGTCTGGCGGACGTAAGGCAGAGAACGGGTCCTGCGTGCCTTCCTGGCCCTGGGAGGACATGAGCTCTGGGAATGTGAGGCTGAGGCCACACAAAGGTGGTCATGTGTTCTGACAGCTGAGGCCAAAGGCCTCCCTATTACTCTGAGACACAAGGGGGTGCTTCTCCTAGAGAATGCTCTGATAGAAATGAAGGCCACATAAGCGTGGACACTGACCTAGATACCATGTTATTCTTGGGGCACCGTCCCCGTGGGCCACAGTCATCTTCCTTCCCTAGTCCAGAGAAGTCCAACAGCTCTACAGAAGCATCTCCCAGCTCTGGCTTCCCTGAAGGCTGGGTTCTGGGAGAACAGGGAGGGCCACCTCAGCCTGGGGGTGCTGGCAGCTCAGGAAAGGCTAACCAAACCCCTTCTCTCTACACAAAAAGCCCTGTCGCTTGGATTGCTATAATTATCTGAGGGAATTTCAGGGGTAATTATGGTGTTTTACAGCATGCTTGAAAAAGGATGTGTACCTCCAAGGAAAAGCCGGATTCAGGACACAGGCACAAGGATGCACTTCCCAAGAAAGGTTCCTGCACCTGCAGAGAGGCTGGAGAGATACAGCAGGGAGCCTACCAGGGCACTACTGCCGTGGAACCGCCCCCTGTTTGCAGAAAGAAGGTCCACTGCCTTCCTGAAAGAATACAAGTTGGCTTGGTGCAGACAATAAGGAAAATGCTGGGTGCAGCACCTGAAGCCTCCCCTCTCAATACTTCCTGCCAACTCCAAATCATTTGTGTTTTAGGGTTCAATCAGTGGAGGCCCTGCCTGGAAGGACCTACATAAATCCCCTTATCCTGCAGCTTCTAGAAGACAATGCCTGGAACTGTGGCTCTGAATCCAGCAGAATGACTTCTGCCTGGTGCCGTCCCCCCAGTGGCATGTCCCCAGCCTCCCAAGCCTGAGCTGATGTGAGCCACTGTCAAAACGTCTGGAACCTAGGTATCTCTCACAGGACACTGGGGGTGACTGTGAGAAGCTGCTTCCAGCCACATCTATACCAATCTATTGAGAATCTCATCTTACTCGCTCACATAAGCACCACAACACGGAAAACAAAAAACGAAGTCCCCACCCTCCTCTCCGCTCGACATTCTCAAGGTCCTTCATAAGTCACCACTTGGCAGCTCTCTTCAATGCCCTCACCACGATGCTCATTTGCAGGCCAGCCTACTGACTGTATCCTCAGGCCTTGCCTATCTTAGCTTTGCCCACCCAGGGAGCTCCTTCTCCACAGGCACCAGGGAAGGAGCCCCTAGTAAGCACGGGGCTCTCCCACATTCCTCTGAATCCGAGTCACCTTGTCTTGCTCCCACTCCAGAAAAGACTCTCAGGGCCCACAGCTACTTATTCGATGCTGTAGTCCAGTGGTTCTCAACCTTCCTAATGCTTCGACCCTTTAATACACTTCGTTATGTTGTGGTGACCCCCCCCAGGTCATAAAATCATTTTTGTTACTACTGCGTAACTATGATTTTGCTACTGTTATGAATCGTAATGTAAATATCTGTGTTTTCCTATGGTCTTAGGTGACCCTTGTGAAAGGGTTGCTCGAACCCCTAAGGGAGCTCGACCCCAGGTTGAGAAATGTTGCTGAAGTAAAACAAGGGTGGAGCTTCCTGAGGTCAGGAAGGCCAGGCCTAATGTTAGCCTCAGAGCAGTTCTGGGCAGATGAGCCCACTGCTGGCCCTTCTAGAACTCCAGCTCACTGAAGCCCTGCTCAGCAGGGTGAATTGTCATTTACAAAGAAGGCCCCCTCCACCTTCCATCTTAGACAGGGTCATAAGCAACAACTACAATAGAAGCCAGTGTTTAATAAAGTCTTTTCTAGGAAGTGAGCTATGAATGAGAAGTTCCCATGCCCCTCAGATGCCCTAAAGGCTCAAGGAAACAGACCCCCATCCTCTAGGTGCAATAGGGATGTCCCAGAAAGCAGCCTCTGTGTCTAAGAATAGTAAAGTCCAACCGGGGCTTGGATACCCAGTTACCTAAGCCCTGGGTTCCCTCTGGAACACATCCCACACATCTTAGTCTTCACCATTTCACTGTAGGACCACACTGTCTGCAACCACCCAGCAAGCCAGCCAGCAGGCCCACTAATTCCTCCTTTGCAGGCTTTGGTGGCTTCAGCACTGCAGTCCTGCTCCTTGACCACAAGGTGCATGTCACACCAGCCCTGAGCTGCCCTTGAGATCAGTATGTAAGGACCCTGACTTCCCACTCATTAAAGTCTCCAACGAGCTCTGAGACCCAATAACAATAAAGACAGACATCTGAGCCCTGCAGCTGCAGCCAGAACAGGGAGAAGCTGTTTCTGTGACCTGGTGGGGCAAATAGTACACTTTGTTTCTACAGATGGAATCCCCATTATTCTAACTGCTGCCTTGAGGATGAACCCCATTGCCCCTGTCTAGAGTACACGGGACAGGTTAAGTGACCAGTCCAAGGTCACATGGACGGCTGGAGCCAGATTCCAATCCAGTTTCAACCTGTCTCCCTCCACAGCCTGTTTATTTAGCTCCATGGTGGCACCTTCCATAGACCCACACACAGGCCTCCCCCATTTCATGGGTATTCCTAGAACATCGGACGAGACCATGGACCAGCCAGTTTCTTTTACCAGCTTGCCCATCTCTCATATTTAATGCTACTTGTCCTTTATGAGATCAGTGTCCAACCAACATACCTTCTTCTCACCTGGGGCTTTGCACCCATCTTGGAAAGCAACGCAAACCATCCAGACCCAAGGAAGAAGGTTGCTGGATGGCTGCCCTCAGACAGTAACTGGTAAGTGCTGAGTATTGAGCTGGCATCAGGAAAAGCCTCTAGACCCACTCCAGGACAGTCAAGCTCAGCTCTTCCCCAGGACATACTCCCCTTAGAGAGGAGGGTAGGACTTATCAGTGTTCCGAGTAGGACCTTGACTACACTGTGTATCCCCTGGTGGTGGTTGGGAAAGGCAAGCTTAGGGCAGGTTGCTGAAGAGCACTGGGACACCAGTGTCTGCTAACTCTCAGGCCTCTACTGTGGTTTAAATACAGTGTGCATCTCCCCCCAAGATCCCTCCTCCAACGTGGTTGGAGGTCCCTAAGGCTGTAGTATAAGAGAGAGCGAAACCTTTAAGCAGAGTTTCTCAATCTGTGGGTGGCGACCCTGGGGGTTCTGAACAATCCTTTCATAGGGGTCACCAAAGACCATGGAAAAACAGATATTTACATCACAATTCATAACAGTAACAAAATTCCAGTTATGAAGTAGCAACGAAAATAATTTTATGAGTGGGAGTCACCACACATGAGGAACTGTGTTAAAGGGTCACAGCATTAGGAAGGTTGAGAACCACTGCTTTAAGGGGTGGAGGCTGGTGTGTGTGTGTGTGGGGGGGGGTTCCTAAGGTCAGTGGGACTCCTTGGTAGTTCTCACAACGGGGATATTATAAAAGAAGCAAGCTTGGTTCAACTCAGCTTTTTGTGTTCATGGCTCAAGACAACCATCTGTTCGTTTCCATTTGTGTCCCTGCCAGTATCACCTGCCATGAGGTAATGCAGGGGACAGCCCTGCCCTGTACTGCTTGAACTTTACCTTCAAAACTGAGGTAATTAAACCTTCCCTTCACACAGATAGCTTAGCTAGGGTATTTCATTATGGTAACAAAAAGTTGCCCAATGCAAGCTCCAAGACTCTTCTGTAAATTGGTCAGGACCTCTATGCCCAGCAAACAGTGCTGACAGACAGAACGTGAGAAGCTTCAGGCCAAGCACATGGCGATTACCCAATAAATAGATGCTTCCATAGCCCTATCCCCTCATTCAGGGCTACCTCTGATCCTGTCTGAGAAATGTGCTCCCTGGTGCCACCGCCACAGAAAAGGACCATTTAGGTTAGGGTTCAAGGCATCTTAGGCCACAGACATGATCTATATGAGGGGCAGCCAGGGGGACTTTCTCAGCAGGCCCTGGGCTGAGGCAAAAGAAAGAACTATTGCTTTAAATAGAAACGAAATGCTTCAGCAGGGCTCACTGGGGTGGGAGACTGGGCATTTAAATTTCACTGGGATCTTTCTCACAGAAACACACACCTTGAAAAGGCAGTCTGAAGTCAGGGCATTGGTGGCACACACCTTTAATCCCAGCACTCGGGAGGCAGAGGCAGGCCGATCTCTGTGAGTTTGAGGCCAGCCTGGTCTACAGAGCGAGTTCCAGGACAGGCTCGAAAGCTATGCAGAGTTCCAGGACAGGCTCGAAAGCTATGCAGAGAAACCAAAGAAAGAAAGAAAGAAAGAAAGAAAGAAAGAAAGAAAGAAAAGGCAGTCTTCACTCTTCTGAGGCTGCCCTGCTCCCTGGTGGGGTCAGGTGGGATAGAGAGACAAGACCTCCGGATAAGAGCCAGCAGCTGTTAGAAGCTCTGCAGTGAGGGGGAGGCTCCACCCAAGGGAATGGCATGTAACCCACGGTGCCCAGCAGCATCACTATGCATCTCTCTGCATTTGATTGAAGGCCCCTGATTTCCCGTGGTCTCCTTTGCCCTGTTATATAACTGCACTCTACACGAGCAATTCCACGCACACACTCCTGTTCCCTAACCACAGCGTCATCAGGGCACTTCATCTCCCCCCAGGGGTTCAACACAGCAAAGCCCTTTGAAGCCTTCAGAATTACTCTCCTCAGAAGCATCCCGTAGCTTGTATTTCTTAACCCTGCTTGCAAAGGAAAACACAGGTCCTCGCTACCTATGATGGCTGCCCCCATAACTCAACTCCTTCCTGTGTCCAAGTGCTCAAGACAAGATTCCTTGCCCTTCCTGGCACATTAATAACCCGTGACCACAGAGGTGGGTGGGCTACCTGTCAGGAGGTTGGGCCATATGTGTCCATACCTTTCATGTAGGCCTCAATCCTTCGGATAAGCTCGTAGGACTTGGAGCGGTCTAACAGGGTCCTGATGGCAGGGAGGGGATCCAAGACGATGGTCTCAGGGTGAGCATCAATGTACTCCTGAAAGAAAAGCCCACTTGTGGTTAGTGGCGGAGGGGTTGATGCTGCCGCAAGGGCAGTGACAAGACTGTATGCCCACAATCCTCCATGTATCCGTTGCTCCCTGGTCCTTCCTCCAACACATGACTTTGGTTAAACTAATAAAGGGTCCAGAAGATGACACATGACCTTGCATCTGCCCAATCAGAGGCAGGCTTGGGGCTCTTGCTAGGATTCTGGGACAAAGGGGTTCCCTGTCCCATGAAGGAAGAAACACAGAGACGGGTGTCTGTGAGTAGGCACAGTAGGAATTTAAACGGAGGTATGTCTTAGTACACAAGAGCAGTCACGTTCTGATGAGGTCATTTGCCCCTCAGATCCAGACCTGAGGGGCAGGTCTTTGTGCCTGGATCCAGACCTGGTCCATCTGCTCAGCAAGCTCCATCAGAGTGCCAGTTCAGCCTCCTGCACCAATGGAGAAGGACTCCAAGCAGGGCAAAGAAGAGAGGAAAGGTGCAAGGACTCGCAGAAAATTTGCAAGAATGTATGACGAACAGGACTGTGTCACTTACTCCAGCCACACCACTAAGTGCTCGACCTTGTCAAAAATGTGTCCATCAGAAGGGCTTCCCCTTCAATATCGAGCAGTTTTTTGATGGGCAATACAGAATCTCAAGGGAAACTGGGGGTGGGGTGAGGGTGGGGTTAAGCCTTTGGGGAGTCTGTGTCATCCCGGGAAGGAGCAGTAACTTACATGGGAGAGGAGATGCTATAAGACAACTCAGCAAATTAAAGACAGGGGTTGGGGAGATGGAGCAGCCAGTGAAGGGCTTGCTGTATAAGCATGTGGACCGAGTTTAATCCCCAGGCAGGTAAGAGCTTGGCATGGCTGTTTGTGCTGTAATTCCAGCACTGGGGAGAGGAGGTAGGCAGATCCCTAGGGCTTGCCAGCCACTCAGCCTATCCTACTTGGCAAGTTCCAGGAGAGCAAAAGAATGTCTCAAAAAACAAGGTGGCAGTTCCAAAGGAATAAAACACTTGAGGGTGACCTCTAGCCTACACACACACATGTACACATACATACATGCACACACACCTGCATTTGCACACACAAACATGCACATGTACTTATACACCCACCAAGAGACAAGAAAAGCCACTCTGTCGTGACTCCGGGAGCCCTAGGCAGAGTGAGTCAGAGCCACTTGTTGACAGATGGAAATGAGACTGTCCTCCCTGGCTCTTCAGATTTATAATTTGAAGGATATAATTACAAGATGCTGAAGAGAGCTTCAGTAAAAAAAAGGCTGGGCTGGAGGAAGGCCCTTCCCCAGCACCTGTGAATATGGACTTATTCGGAAACAGTCTTTAGCCACTATCAAGTTGCAGATCCTCCCTTGGCCTCCACGCAAAACTAACCCTGCTAATATCTTGATTTTAGAATTTCAGCCCGCAATCTGTGACAGAACAAACTGCTGTTAAGTCATCAGGCATATGGTCAAGACAGCCTTGGGGGGAACAAAAAATTCACCCAAGTTCACTTTATCACTGCTGCCTTCAAGCAGCCCCACCCTGGTCCACACACCAGGCTGAGGTTAGCAAAGTTCAGAGGGGAAAATACCCACAATGCTGCTTCTCTAGTAAGCTTTATCAACACAAAGTAAGACTCACTGAATGTTTTTTTAAGAGAACCTATTTTTGCTCCTAGTATCACTTTGAGAGCATTTGAGGCAAAGCCAGATTCATACTCACTTTGTCTCAAACTGTCCTTCCCATGAACTGGAACAGGACTTCCTTTCTGTCCTCTTCCCCCGAATGCTTAAATCTCCCTCTCTCCCTTGGATGTGTGCCACCTGGGAGGCCTCTATGTTGGCACCAACTCAAGCAGATTCCAGACACCTACTCACTCCTGAGACTGACTCCCTTTGCCCCATGGCTGCTTCTATAGCCACTATGCAGATCTATGAAGAACAGTCATTAGGCCACATGGCTGTGCCCACTGCCACTCTTTCCTAGTCTCAGCTAACTAAGAGCTGTTCCTGGGCCCTGCTTCTCCCATGGGGGCTTCTGATGGGCAGGCATCCCTGCTGGCCTTTCCTTCATCAAAGTGTGCTGACACACAAGCCCACCAATTATGAGTTCCCCTCCTCTCCATCCCGCTCACAGAGCCTTACAAAATGTGACTATAAATGTCAGTGCTGGGGTGTCTTGCAGGTGGAGCAGAGAAACCTCTTTACCCAGTTCCCAGCTCCATGGTCTGGGCCAGCTTTGAAAGTTCCAGTCCCGCCGGGCCTTGGTGGCACACGCCTTTAATCCCAGCACTCGGGAGGCAGAGGCAGGCTGCTCTCCGTGAGTTGGAGGCCAGCCTGGTCTCCAGAGCGAGTGCCAGGATAGGCTCCAAAGCGCCACAGAGAAACCCTACCTCGAAAAACAAGAGAGAGCGCGAGAGAGAGAGAGAGAGAGAGAGAGAGAGAAAGAAAGAAAGAAAGAAAGTAAGTAAGTAAGTTCCAGTCCCTCAGTACTCCGGAGGCAGATGCAGGCCAATATGGGTAAGTTGGAGGCCAGCCTGGTCTATAGAGCAAGTTCCAGGGCAGCCAAGGCTACACAAAGAAACTGTCTTGAAAAGCCAAAAAACAAAGCAAAACAAAAAGGGTCCCAGTCCCTCAAACCCTCTCCCACTCCACTGCTTCCAGAAGCAGCCTGATGTGCTAGGAAGAACACGTGACAGGGACCAAGGCAACCAGCCACTGGGCTTCTCAGGGTCTCTCAAGACATACTGCAGGTGACCCTGCAGGCTCTTGTACAGACAGCCTTAATTCCAAGAGTCTATTGGCTAGAGAAACCTGAGGAGCAGAGTTTCAAGGCCACATGAGGATTCCCTGGAGAGGGGGCCGCAACTGTTTGCTGGTAGCACTGCGGGTAACAGCAGGGCCTCATCACTTGCTGTCCCAGACACTCACCACCAGGGGATGACTGGTTCTCCCCAGCAACTGAAGCAACCCAAACCCTGACACACATTTCCTCCCCTGTGCCCTAACGATGCTCATGCGGTCCCATGTTCCTGCTCTAGGACAGAGACCTTTAAATAGAACCGAGTATCACCAAGGCAGGAATTTAAGCCAAAATCACAAGAGAAAGAAGCCACATGAAACCAGAGAGGGAAACAATCTGACAAGCAGGCGCCAACAAGCTTGGGCCTGGGATGAAAGCAGCGGTGTGCACAGAAGAATCTGTGCCCAGGCGAGCCGATCTCTCTGGAGACGGAGGAGCGGGGTGAATAAGGCTTCTCCCAGTTTCCCTGCGATCACAAGTACGTTTTCCTCTAAGCTTTTCAGCTCCTCCAATTGTATGGAGGGCTGCATGCATTTTCCACAAGTCTCTTAGAATTGCCAAACAAATTGCTGGGAGAAGGATGCAAACCATCACCATGGCAAATGGTAAACACCCATTCCCTTGGAGAGCTGGCCTGCCAAGAGGGAGGGACCACAGTGCGACCCTGAAGTGAATAGGGGAGTCTGGTCTTTCCACAGAAATGGACAGCCTGGGCCCAGTAGGGTCAGGAGCAGGCAGGAAGTCCCACTGTCAGAGGGGTTAAGGAGGCAGAGGCAAACCAGGTGCCCACTCAGAGCACAGGCTGGTCCAGGTCCAGGGCAGGGGATGATGCCCTTAGGGGCACTGATGACATACTATGGGGTGACGGGGAGACAGTTTTCCCACTGCGATCTGAGACAAATAAGAAGAATGAGGGAGCAGCTTCTACATCTCTGCAGTGCCCTGGCAGGGAGACGGGCTTTGCTCTCAACAGAAAGTGCCACCAGGAGCTCCAAATTCACATCTTGCCTGTGTGTTACAGTTAAGTTTTTGCCAACCCAATACAAACCTAGGCATACTTGGAAAGAAGGAATTCTCACTTGAAGAACTGCTCCCACCAGACTGGCCTGAGGAAGCAATGTCACATCTTGACTGCCAATTGATGTCAGAGGGCCCACCCCACTGTGAATGGTGTCATCTGTGGTCAGATGAGCCTGGGTTGTTTAGGAAAGGTAGCCAGGGGAAAGAAGCCTGTAAGCAGCGTTCCTCCTTGGTTGCTGTTTTGGTTCCCACCTTTGGGCTCCTGCCTCAACTTCCCTCGATGACGAGATGGCAATTGGAAGCTGAAATAAACCCTGTTCCCCTTGAGCTGCTTTTGGCTATGGTATTTAACACAGCAAGAGGAGGAAACTAGGACACCGTGTCACATCTTCCATGTCTAGAGTCAAGTCTGCAATCCCATGATGTGACCTAAGCTCTGGATAAAGCAACCCCAGGGAGCTGCAAGCAGTCCCGTGACGACCAATGCAGAGAGGGGAGGGGAGAAGAAGAATGTTCTGCATTTGCAGCATAGGACTCAGCAAAACCCTGGGTTTGAGTCTCTGGGCTCATTCACCCTGTCCCCACCCTGAAGACTCTTAAAGTCACCGACTGTGCACTGAGGAGTTGCCCCAAGAGGTCCCAGTGTCCCAAGGACACAATCCCACTGAGTGCTCTCCCAGAGACATCTCTGTATATGATACCCATCTGCGTGCCCAGTCCAGCAGGGGCTAGCATCAGAGTGTCATTTGGCTCTGGGAGGAGACACACTGGGCATCTTGGACCACCTGCAGGTCCTAACCATGGGCTCCCGGGAATCAGGAGCACCTGACCACCACACGAATGGCAGGAATGACTCCCAATCAGAGCTCAACAGGCTTCCACATAGCTGTTGAAGGTTACTCTCATGGGAGCCGTTATGAAAAGGAGGTGACCTTAGGCCTTCTCAGTGTCATTTTCCTCCTCTTAGTTCCTCTGGGTTAGCCTTCTTATGCACTCTTCCCACGCTGGGTGGGAGCCTGCAGTCTCCTCATCACGGACACTGTGGTACCGCGATGGACCTGCGCTCACCTCTAGGGTGAATTACTACTGATGAAATACGACCTATTACACACAGGTCATAGATGTGCTTCTCATACCCACACCATCAAGGAGGTCCTGTTAGTGACCCC